CATCACTCAAATCAAGAAATATTTTACCATTCAACTATTTACTTCATCTAGAATCAGTACTGAAAGTATTGTCGAACGGTTCATTTGCACATTAAGTTGGGTCACCAAAAAATAAACAATGATTTTTCTTTCAAGATTTTTATAGGTCCTCGCGCTACAGTCGATAAATCAGTTGATTCCAGTTTTTACAATATTTTACGATAAACATTTGTAAGGCTACAGTATCCAAGGGATCTCTGAAATGCCGGGCTCGTTTTATTGATACTTGTTAGTCTTAGAATCTAGTTATAAGTTTTAACTTAAAAGTGCGTTGAGCTAATGCAGAGCCAAGTTGACCAAAAAGACTTTCCTTAGTCGGTGTGGCTTTCAGTAGGGATTCCATACTCGACCATGGACTATCCTTACCTAAACATGCTTGACTTCCTAAATCACACAAAAATGCATTCAAATGAACAAATCCTTAAACATCCTAATGTATAACGCATTTATTTTTTTGGTATTTTTTTGGTACATCAAAACACTTAGAATGCTTGCTTAATTGTAACGTTTTAAACTTATATTGATATATTTCTCTTGATTCATACTTTTTCAGTATATTGATATGGTTTGATCTTAGAAACCCTAAGTATCAGTTAGACGACATAAAAGCGCGCGCCCATGGCGATATAGACGCACGAGAGAAAATATAAAGAACGATTAACAAGCGAAAGAGTGGCACGAGGCGAAGCCGAGTGACACTCTAGCTTGTTAAGAGTTCTTTATATTTTCTCAAGTGCGTCTATATCGCCATGGGCGAGCGCTTTTTTGTCGTCTAACTGATTTATAATATGACCAAAAATCTACCGTGCGATCCATGGGCAAATAGTTCGTAGGCATTTGAGCCAATCAGAGCGCGCGTTATATCACACATCTCACTCGTGCGCGCGCTATTGACGCCATCGGGTTTGAAAATTTAGAGAAAAAAGGCGAGCGTCCGTTGAGATCAGCGTGCGCGAGCGTGCAGCCCATGGGGAAATAGTTCATTGGTTTTTGGCCAATCAGAGCGCGCGTAATAATCTAGTCATATTATAAGTGGACTAGTTAATCTCAATGTCCTCTAAATCCACTTGGTAGTGGTACTTATGAAGGCATCTGTGCCCAAAGGTACCTGCTTGAACCACGAACAAGAATCCATCCGCATCCGTTGTCATATCAAATATCTTAACCTGTGAATCCTTTTTGTAATCCCATTCACGAATGAAGCGGCGTTTACCATCATATGTGCGTTCGTAGATCCCAACCACGCTTTTTGGTCCCAGTTGGTCGGCAGAATAGAAGATGTTTTTCGTAGAATCCATCGCTATACCTTTTACAATGCTCATGCGGGAGCGTCCGTCATTAATCTCATCCCAGCTTTCCTTTGTGACTACCATCTGTGCGATCTCTTTGAAGATGAAATCCGAAGTCTTCGCTGCGGTATCTGAAGGTATGGCTCCTACAGCAGGGTCACTTCTCGATATGCGGCTACTTTCCACCACCCAGTTGTTTCCACCAGTCGAACATCCAAGGTAGTTGATGTTCCCATAATATTTGTTGTAGAAGCTGTGGAGGTACCAGTCATAGCGATCGTTTAACGATGGTGTTGGTTCAGAAAGCCCCCAGCGCATTTTCCAGTTATAGATTGCACCGTTGTAGTCTGCATATGCAAAACGATCTCCACAAAAGGCAACGCCTCGTACGTCGGGTTTATTTCCATTTGGCTCGAAGAGCTGAGGTATGGTGTAGTAGTGCTCTATGGAAAGCCCAGTTGGGTCTGTAAAATCACCCTTTATTTTGAACATCAAAACGTAACTGTCTCCACCTTTTGCTTTGCTATGAGCTGCTACGGCCATGACTTTTTTATCAGCATTTATAGATATGTCCAGTGGATGGCATTGTCCCCCGCATTCTGCTCCTGGAAGGTCGATTGTTTTGACAGTCTTTAAATTATCACGATTGACAACCGAGATCTTCGACAGTGCAGGCTGTGAAACGAAGAGATAACCGGCAGCATAGTGCAAGCCATCTGATTCCCCCAAACCAGTGCACTCGGATTTTACTTCTTGGACCGGATAGATAAACAGGTCTCTCATTGCAAATATGTGGTCTTCTTCTTTCTTGCGTCTGTCTTCAGAATAGGGGTCCTTTACAAAGTTTTCACAGTACTTCTTGTATTCAGGATCACGAACTTTCGTCCACCAAGTACAAACCTGGGACATTACCTTTTCATAAGAGGTTTTGTCGTTTTTGTACTTCATCGAAGCTGCAAAGATTACGGAAGCATAACCATCTTCTTGGTATCGAAAAAATTTCCTGATGAAAACCCATGTGAGTTTAGCTGCTTCGTGGGTAGCCAATCCGCTGTCGAGCTTTGCTTTGAAGTAGTGTTCGACGAGTTCCTCTTTAGTGACTAGTCCAGTAAGGTGAAAGAGTGCCTTTTCGACGTATTCATCGTTTCCACTTCCACCAAGCACCTCCTTGATGAATCGCTGGCGCCTTTCTTTTGCTACCTCAGATTTGTCGTCCTCCTTCAACTCTCGAATGACCTTTCTTCTTTCGTTCATGGTGTATTCAATATGCTTGAAATACCACTTTCTCTTAGATTCGTTCCAGATTTCTTTAACGTCCTTCTTGATCGATTTAATATCATCTGCAATAGCATCAAGTTTTCGTTCTAGAGCATCAAGCTGCGCAGTAACTTCTCCACCACCACAAACATCGGTAAAGGTACAAACGACTCCTTGAATTGCAGATGCCATGCTAACCACCAAACCTATTACACTTAGAGGATCTACGGATCGTTTTTCTATGCTTCCGCTTCGTGGTTGGGGAGCCGTTTCATTGAAAGACTTGCTTTCTGTTTTTTGCCAGCCAGAGGCTAGAAAAACAATTGCCAGGAAAAAGATAAACTTCTTGGTAGCCATGTTCCTAGCCTGAAATGATACAATAAAAGGTGTTGCTACTTGAAGCCTCCTACCCGTCCTATATCATCGCAAAAGGAAAAGCAAAAGTTAATTAGCCTTCTTTGATCTAATTAGTCAATGAAAATATAAAATTGTAGTGTCTACACATAACTTTTAAGCCTCATTTACACGAACAAGTTTTTCTTGTCAAGTTTTCTTTCACAAAATAAAACTGGTACATCAGATTTTTCGACAAGGGGACTTGACAAGGGAAAAATTGCCACTTTTCCTCATTTACACGTGCAATAAAACTTGTCAAGGAAAACTTGCACGTGCAAATGGCGACTAACATCAATAAGTACATGGTATTATCGAAAGGAAAATAAGTTACCTAGCCTGGTTTCTTGGGTGAGTAAGGATAGCCAGCAAGTTGTCTGCCGACTAGTTTCTTCCCTTAAAACTGAACTAAAAGTTAACGGGATTTCTTAAATGGCTTTATTTATTGTCAGTCATTGTCTGTCTACACATCATCTCTTAAATTATTCAGAGTGCTTGTTCTTAAGGTTGACCTATACACCGAATTAAACAATTGAACAGCTCGGTGAATGGCGCATCGTTGACCTTTGTCAACTAGATGGCGAAAACACCTTATCTACCGTTGTTACCCTTTGACATTGGATTTTACCTTAGTCATGTAACCTATGACCTTTCACTTCGACGAAGAACTGACGTCCGAAACCTTAATATTTTTACAATGAAACGGCTTCGCTTGCTTTCTAGACGAAATGACTAACGTTTTATTTCCCAGCGCAGACAAACTCTAGCGCAGCGCACTGATTCTAAAAATAGCTTAAAGATTCGGACAAACATTGCATTCTGTTTAACCGCTACGAGGATTATACGAACCGATTTTATTATTTTTACTTAAAGTTACAATAATAACCCATGTAAACTAAGATCAACTGCGATCGGCTGTGAAAATTATGTGCTGAAAGTAAACTTGTAAGTTTGTTTGTCCGAATTTCGCCTTTGTCTTCGTTTTTATGACGTCACGGTTGCGCAGCGCTATTTAGGATGGGGTTTTCTCTGAAAAACTCGTTCATTAATCATTTAAATCATAACCCAAGAAATGATGAAATATCGATGATTGACATTTTTGACTGTGTTATTGATTTACCGACCAAAGTTGCTACAGGCACGGAATCGTCATGGTTGACATGCTCTCACGAAAGGAACTGAACGTGTTAGGCTTTACGCCGTCTACCGTCCAATGGTAAATCTCATTAGATTAGATGAAAAGAGAAAGGGAAAAAAGCGAAAAGGAACAAAAATTAAAACAAAAAAGTAAACTAAAGATGTTTTAGAATTTCCTGTTTTTATGACGTCATACCGTTGCATGCAAACAAATTAGTTGATGTGGTTGATTAACCAAAAGACGCTATAGTATTGTATAGTATATTATAGACCCCTAGCATTGATTTCCTAGAGGAATTCTTCTGGGGGACAAAACAATAGGCCGTCTTTTCTTATACAAAAAAAATCATTTTTTTGTCCTCCAGAACAATTCCTCTTGGGACTCAGTACAAGGGGTCTATTTCTGGTGTGCAACCACATGACTCAAAATCCTTCGAGATATGAATAACAATGAAACAACCGCCATGTTGGTTGATCTAACGAGAGAAGCTAATGAGAAATGCTTTGTTATCGTCAAACAACATGACGGCTATGACGTAACATTCTACCCAAGAATAATAACTACAACCTGCGAAAAGGGCTAGCAAGGTTTCAGAAACACCATTTCTAATACATTAATTTTATGCCTTTCCTTCATGACGCAAATGTTATGCAGACATATAGTTAAAATGTAAAACTTCTGATTTTCAAAGTAAATATCGTGATGGCAGCCATGACAGGAGGCACAACAATAGAGTCTTTTCTACCAGGGAAACTGAATTCTTTCTCGTGTAAATCAGATTAAACCTGACTCAATTGTTTCTGGCCTCCTGTCATGGCTGCCATCATGTAAGGTTGCAAAGCCTCTATTTGAATAAAATAAGAAGAACGGAAAAATAATTGGAAGTAATTGTAATCCCTTGGCATTTATGGCATATTGATCTCCACCATCCAACGCAAACTTAACTTTATGAAAAAATAGGCGAAATCTTAGCACATTGATGGTCAAATCTCAAGGTCGTGCGATCAAAGAATCACTTAAATTCAAAAGGCGACAATTTTTCGTTCGATAATAAAGATTTTATTGTCGACGACCATGATTATTATAATTACAGCTGGTATTGCCATGTAGAGAACTTAATCAAAATATCAAAAGACAGGAGTTCGAAACCAGATATTTTAATACTTTATTTCCTAGTACTTTCCTGAAATACCTTTGATCCATTTTATAAATATCTTTCGGTAGTGTTTTCAATCTTATTGAATTGCGTGACTTTCTCGATAAGAAGCAAGATAAAGTATAGTAAAAGAAAAAGAACTGTCAAATTTATTGCTTCAGCTGTCTCGTGCTCGAATATCTTCAAGTTGTCACAGGTGGCAAAAGCCCACTTAGTCATTAGCGATTCAAATCACTGAGAGTCAACCTTCCATTTGTCGAGCTTGACATTTCCAAAAGCAAACTTAGAAACGTGCCCTAAACTTGAATTTTGCAGTACTAAGCCAGACATCTTATTGTCAGCTTATTCCGCCTGCTCGAAAGAAGTTGGCCATTTGGGATTTTCGTTCGATGTACTTTTTCACACTTGTAAATTTGTCACTTCTAGGCAAGCAATATCTTTAGACATGCAAATGTATTGTCTTAAATCTATCTGGACTTGCGTGTTTTTTTCATATCATGCTGCTAGAATTTATCATCTCTAACACCGACCTTTTTGCGTGATCATAATGAGCATCGGTCATATCGACCATTGCCATGAAGAAGAGCCTTACTTCAGTTCAAATGTCTTATTGGTTATTGTCGTTTTGTCACTAGTTACAGGATTGATCACAGGTGCAGGAAATTCTCTAGTTTTGGCGTCCGTTTACTTGTTCAGGAACCTCAGGACGCACAGTAACTATTTCCTGGTGTCTTTAGCTGTAGCGGATCTTTCAGTTGGTTTGGTTGCTATTCCGTTATACTGTATTGGAGCCATTACGTGGCCTCACACGCTTGGCACAATAGAAGGTCATGCTTTGGATTGTTTAGTGATGTTAACACTAACCGCTTCTTCGTTGAGCCTGGTTGCTGTCAGCTACGATCGACATCTTGCGATTTCATCTCCTCTTCAATATTGCAGCCTAATGAATATACGCCGATGTCGAACAATCATCATCTTGGTGTGGTGTTTGTCTTTCGTTATTGCATCTCCTAGTTTCATTGCAAAGAACTTAAGTTCTCGAGCGATTTTGAACGTTGCTTTTATCATCATATCATTTGTTTTTCCTCTGGTGGTCTTGATCTTTGTGCAATGTGGTATATTCAAGGCTGTGAGAAGACAGTTGTCGCTGATGCAGACTCCCCTTATGCAAATGAATGTTGATGACATTCCACACCAGGAAAGAGGACAAGCAACAGAAGAGGTACAAACACTAGAAAAGCGAAGCAAGGAAAATATGGAATTAGAAAATATAGATAATAGTGATCATCAAAACAATGAAACACGCCCAGAAAAAGTACGAGATTCGGATTCAATACCAGATGATGAATACTCAAAAGAGGTTATGGGTGAGAAGAAGCAAGAAAAACCCATCATGAAAAGATTGCATAAAGGTTTAAGTAGGCCTTCTCCATGTATTGGTTTGAATGAAAACAAAGAAAATAACAATTCGATGGAAGAAGTGAATCTGCTAGAAAATAAGTCTCATCATCGCTATCATGATATTCGTGACCACAATCTTCATCGACATTCAGCGTCAACATCGGTATTTCATTTTCGAGCTTCATCCTGACAGATTCGTGTTGGTAAAGCAAGTTTTGAAGCACCATAAACACGCAATCACACTTGCTCTTGTGATTGGCTGTTTCACTCTCTGTTGGCTGCCAACATTTGTTCTCATCATAATTCAAGCCAATGACAGCGCTCTGTGTAGCATTATCAAACATGAGCAAATATACTTTGTTACGTTGCTTTTTGCATTAGCCAATTCGTTGCTCAATCCTTTCATATATTGTGCGAGGCTGAGCGAATTCCGTCGAGCGTTTGCCAAGATTCTAAAGTGCAGATATCAATCTTCTGTTCGGTAGAACTGATATCTTTAATGGGGATACTAATACACGTAAATTCAGTTAGTATATCCACACAAACACAAAAATAACAGACCGCTACACTCGAGGGACTACTTCAACGAGACGGCGGCCATCTTGGATCGCAAGACATGGGGCGTCCAGGGAACAAAAAAGCTTTGTTACGCTATTGACTTCGATTAATATTAACAGCTCACCACAAGAGAATACAACAAGCAATGAATTAAGACGACACATCGATGACGTTTACCCATAAAAAGACAAACGCGTGAAACTCTATATATTTTCTGCCATCTTTGTTTTGTAAGATGGCCGTCGTATCTTCGAAGTAGTCCATTGCAAAATCATTGTCGCGCTCACTAAAACATAAAACATAAAAGCTGAGATCGAAATGTTACATGGGAAGGACGCTAATTAGATGTTTCTAAGACTAGTTATGTAACTGGTGAAATGTTTACAGTCCTTTGACTAAACGTTGTCGTTGACCGGATCATCCCTACGCGCCTAGACCGAAAAGGATAACGGGTAAATTCCCCAGAACTTGCGTCATCCAAACTGCTCGCCAGTTTAAATCTTCGCCGTATGCTCGAGGCATGGTTTCAGCAAATTAAATGGGATCGAAAAAAGCGAGCTCAAGACGTGTTAGATAACATATGCGGCAGCTAGTAACTGTGAATTAATTATCCCCATGATCCTTTTCGGTCTAGGCGCGTARAGATGAAGCCGATCAAACGACAACGTTTAGTCAAAGGACTGTATACATTGTTGCACTGACAGAGAGCATGGAGAAATGTTTCATATAGACTGTGTATCAGCAAAAATGAATATATCAGAGGCTAATGATGTCATTTCCCAGACTACTAAAACTATTTGTATGACTGTTGCCTATATTTATGTGTCTCTTTCGTACGCAAACTCTAGAGAATGACACGTGTATGAAATGGGAAAACTAGCCCAACGTAGAGGTCTATTATGTCACATTAAAAAAAACTTTTCTGAACCTCGTTCATTCCAGTTGCATTAAACGACAATATTAACGTATTAATGGGTAATCTCGATTTTTAGGTTATCTTTTCTAACACAAATGCCAAATGAAAACACTTTTCTTCCTTGACGCGTATACGTTTCTTTTTTTTATTTACTCAGAAAGAGTCACCGTTACAAAAAACTCTTATGCAATTTATACATCTTCATGGCTATAAACTTTAATGACAAGATTAACACTAGAACAGCTTTAGAACTCCTTTCACATCGTGCTCCTTGTCTGAGAGATGCAATGTCTTCAGTCACTTTTTTTAAACTAAGTTAATGGCAAGTAAACTTTCTATTTTTACTTTGTTTCCCACAGTCTTTATAAACTTTGGCATTGTGTTTTTAACAATGGCCTATTATATTACTTGACGGATTTGTGGTTAGCAATTAAAATGATGACGATCATTTGCAAGCTTTCAATGGGATACTTAAAACTAGTAACCATTCCGAGTTAGGCTAATCAATCCTTTCATGCCGAAGAAACGGTGTTCGAATTATACGAAATGTCTTTGTCTCACACATTTCTCGCACTTTGCAGAAGTGCGGTACGGCTCTCGTCATCTTTCGTGAAGTTGCCGCTTCTCATCTTCAAAGGCAGCAACAGGCTCAGACAGCATCTTAGGCAAGCTTGACAGCAATGACCACAGCTGCAATTATCTTCATTAGCAGACATACAGCACTTTAATGTCTGCATAATGATGACCTTGAGAACAGCAACTACAAAAAGAGTATGGCATTTGTGAACATCAGCGTGACACACTAAGCTACTAGAAATATACCTATCGGTTTAATAGGAATAATTTTTGTATGATCAGTTTGACAAACATACGATCTACACTAAGATATCCATACTCACCTGTCACTATGCCAATAACAGCAACATTGATGATGATCATCATGATAGACACGCCCAGGTCGTCGTTATGCTTGTTGACAACTGGTGACATTTTGTCATTGTCTGATGCCTTGAGCATCACACCAATTCCAAGGTTTAGAAATATCGCCATCAGAGCCACCGTCTGTAGAAGATTCTCAAACTTGTTAGTGATGGGACGTTTATAGACATAAAGAATAGCAAATACAGCAGATATGATGGCACCGAGTCCAATCTGTGTGCGGCTGTGCTCACCAATCAGCGTCAGACCGGAAATGAGAACCAGCTTCCTGATCATCTCCAAAGCTTCCCAGTACCAACAATTGGATCTGTAGTTCTCGCTAAACAAACTGAGACCAGATTTGAATGGGGTGTCCACATTTGCTGGCACAACAACATCTTCACCACTCAAATGATTGTGAGTTGCGCATTCTTTCCTTATCGATGGTTGGTGGATGTATTTCCAGACAAGAATCAAAATGACCACAGGAAACCCAATGGGGTAAAGAAGGAACGCCGTGGCAATACGTGAGAAGATGTCGTGTTTAGGAGTTTGGCAGTGGACGGAGAGGTCACTTCTGAGATAGGAATCACAATGCGCGTGCTCTTCTTCGAAGCACAGTTGTACACAGTTTATAGAAAGAACCTGAATGATACCTGTACAGGTCTTTGGATATGTTGCAAACAGAAAGACACAGATGTTACGAATACACGAGCTCTTAGTTTTGGCTACCGATTCTTCGACTTGATTTTGTGAATAACATTTCTTTCTCTTTAGTATTGCCATTCTTATCACGAGGTAGATAAGAATGACGGTGACTACGGTGATGTTCAAAGCAACAACAATGACAAACTGCTGCAGTACGTTAAAGGATAACCGAGAAGTAATACAGCTGAGAGGAGCGATCTGTAGGATGTTTAGTTGTATGAAGTGAAGAGTCTTCTGCATCCAAACAACCGAGGATGGCCAGGCTATGTCAGAGAAAGCAGAATATATTCCTGCCATCACCTGAAAGCGCAATTTGAAAAACATAAACATTTTAGCAGCAGGGGAACATGTTGTGCATTTATGATATTTATCATATAGTATATCAATATACGTATTCGCTACTATTTGTTATATCCTGGTCTTCCTATAACGCGTGGCTCGAGTGAGTTTGAAACTTGACTTGCCTGATAAAAGCCAATGACAATCTTAAAACAAGATAATATCTTGTCTGCCATGGTTCGCCCATGTTCATTGTGCAGTCTCTTTCTGTCTCCCCATAACAGAGCAAGGAGGACTACAACAAACAGGACGATCACTATAGCAACCTGAAACCCTGCCCACAGTCTGGATGGACAGCGGATACATCTGTAATTTAAAAAGTTCAAAAGTTAGATAATCTATGAAATGGAGCCAATGAAGAAATATTAACTTGAACAAACCTGTTCAACTTGTTGTAATAGTCTTGTTCACATAATGCACAGAGTGGGCCTTGGTRACCAGTTTGGCAACTAGAGTCCAGGCCTCCTAAACAGGAGTCACGTGGGCACTTGTGGGGATTGGGTAAAGTTCCTTCGTATCTCCACGTTCCTTCTGCAAACTCTGGGCTCTTGATCTTGAGATTTTCGATAAACCTGCGGTACTGTTTCTTAAAAGTGCTATTCTTCCATCTCCAGTAAAAACCTGCTGACAGACTAGCGTAGTCGTTTTCGCATTTGAAAGACTTACTGGGACAGGGAAWACACCTACCAAACCGGTCAAACCGGTAGAAGTTTGGTAAACACTTGCAAGCTCTGTATCCAGCCTTATCACTTGTTTGTGTTCCTGAAAAGTAATTATTGTCAATTCCTGCATTATAGCGATGTAGTAGGTAGGCATATCTAGTGGCTAACAAATCTATCCTTCCATGGTCATCGTTCCTTTTTCTATTTTTTTCCTTTTCTTTTTGTAATCAAATGGGCGGGTTTCCTTTGGTTTTCAACGTTTTGGGCTTCCTTTGTCAAAGGCCAGGTTTCTAAGTAGATTTAAGATGGTGGATAAATTCAAGTGTTTCTTTCGGAAGTTTTGATTCATATTTTCGACATTTTAAAACTTTAAATGGCGGAAAAATCACCAAAAACAAATCTATGTTCACTTCCAAAAAAGGTAAGCTTACGAAATATGGATATGGAGTTGATGGCCCACGCGAACGACAAATTTATTTGGGAAAAGTTTGATATCTGAATTCATCTATTGAACGCTAGCCATCACGTGGTATAAAAGGTGTTGGATTGTGTTACGGTCACCAAGAAATCGAAAAAAAGTTATCGGATTTCCGTACGAATGTACTGAATTTTAAACAACTTATTTACTCGGTTTGTCTAGTTAGCTCTCTAAATACAGCTTTTCKTCACTGCTGTTTAGAAAAGTAACTAAAGAAAGCGATCTGAATTTACATAAGTACCTATGTGTTCTATGTATAGGTACCCATGTATTTTTAGCTCATATTAAGGGGCGTTTACCTTGTGGACATGCCTGACATGACAGTGGTGTAGTACCAGGTGTGTTGTTTGGATGTATGTGAGACACAAAACTAGTACGGCATTTCGTGACTAAGTCTTTATGTAAATATTAGAGTGTGTGACGAAATGTTCATGTAA